GCTAATTGAAACGATACACGATTTTTCAACATCAATCAATAACCGGATACAGACAGATGCAATTTTTATGGACTTTACAAAAGCATTTGATAAGGTATCTCATGAAAAGTTGCTGTACAAGCTAGATAAGATACTTAAAAACACCCAGTTAGTTAAATGGTTTTCGGCGTACCTTTCTAATAGACAGCAATTCGTAGTGTTAACCAATGTTGTTCTAACAAACTTTCCGTTGACTCTGGCGTTCCCCAAGGGCCTGTTCTTGGACCACTGCTTTTTTTAATATTTATTAATGAAATCGTGCAAGACATTCCGGTTAAAATAAACTATATGCTGATGAGTGTGTAATTTACTCAGAAACAGACAGTATTGCAGATCAGTTGTTGCTAAACAGTGCTTTTCAAAAAGTTGCTGCTTGGTGTGATGCATGGCAGATGTGTATTAACTATGACAAAACTCTTTATGAGAATCACTAACAAAAAACTCCCATTTAAGTTCAATCACTTTGTTAATAATACATTTCTGTCCGAGGTAACACACTATAAGTACCGAGGTCTGTGGATTTCAAATAACCTTACTCGGACGCAGCACATTGATTCCGTAAGAGCTAACGCAATTCGTAAGCTGTTCTTTCTCAAGAGAGCTTTGAAACTTGCTACCCCTCCTTGCAGTATTCATAAATAACATAAAATAAATAAATAAAATGCTCATCCAGATCGAAATGGGCAGGGGTGGGTATAGTACCCATGATCCTGGCATTCTGCAGCGCTTGGTTTCGCTTCACGTGCTCCCAGCTGGTCTGCGCAAGACGTCTCGGATCACCCTCAAGCCAGAAACGCCTCTACAAGTAGTTATAGACCTTTTCATTTTGGTAGTTGCATCACCGGCGGATTGAGGGCGCTGACGCTCTCGGCGCCATTAGGTTGCGTCATTTTTTTGGTTGGTTTCGGCTTCAGCGTGAATGCGGCTATGTTGCGGTTTTACGTTGTTTTTGCTTAATTTGGTGATACGATTATTTTCCTTATAACACAATACTAAGGAAACAGTGGTACCGAGCCACTTCGAGGACTACAAGGTGCATTTTATCCTTAATTGTGGGCTTTTTTTTGTTGTTTACCAACTCCTCTGATGATCTGATTATGGTCGGTTGCGAAACGCCTCACTGATGTAGAGGGAAGATTACCATCTTCTGCGGCCGTACCTGATGCCAACAGTTTCCGGGAAAGCAAACTGACCAAGAGACTAACACATGAATGTAAATAATCATATCGACAGCTTGATTAGCAATATGCTGAATCGGCCAGAACAGATGAACTCGCAAGTTTACTACTCACTGTTTGGTTTTCGTGGGCACCCAACCTTTAGTGAACTTCGTAGACTAAAAACGTATCGTGTAATGAGGCACACAATTGATATAAACAAGTATCGTCTCGGCTTCTTTTTTTAAATGCAGTACTCGAACATGTTTTGACAGGCAGGGTAGGACATTTTTTTAATCATTAACCCTGTTAAAGTACTCAGAAGTAGCATTTCGCGATATTGGCCATAGGAAACAAAATATTTTTATATGAACATTTGCTTACTCAAGATATGATATAGGTGGCAGGCTCGTCAAATTAAATCTGGCATTTGTCTTCCGTAACATTGGCCAAATAAAATTAAAAGGCGCAGGAGCAGAAATACCTCGGAAAGTTTGGCTGAAGTCTAGCGCTAGGCACCACTTCACGGACCTGTGTGAACAAATATTTATTTGTTTCCACAGGTTCTCTTTCTAAATTTCGGCGTCGTCAGCCACCAAGAGTGAACCTCTATTCGCCATCGACATTCGTGGACTCAAGTAATTGTTATGCAGATGTTTTTTTTTGGCGTCAAAAATTGCTGATTCTAGATACTGGCAAAAACTAAAACAAAGTACGCAAAAAAAAAGCGTCGTCATTATTTTGCATGCGCCGAACCCAAACTACGTTTTGGATTTGCAAATAGAAACGACGTTGTTTTTTTGTGCACGCTATTCGAAAACTCGCTACTGTCAAGTGTCTGTGGCAGTTTCTTACGCGGGAAGTCCCAACCTTTGTGTTAAAATAAATTACGTGGATGACACAAGCTATCTAAATATTGGCCTCGAGATCGACCTAGAGGTTGCGCTACGGTCGCGCTATCATCATCATCAAAGCGGGGATAGGAGAACGGCCGCCCCATAGGCTTTCCACGTTCGTGCGCGAGACGGCGTAGATTCTTGCGTTTACTTTGTCACATACTATCGGTGAGAAAACTATTCCAGCGGTAGAGAATGCGGTACTGTTCGGTGCTTCAGTGAAGATCGAATGGTGTTGCCAGCGTGCGGCCTAAATTTATATAATCGCTTCTGTGGGAGCGTCGTCTGCTCTATGCAGACGTTGGAAAGCATGGATCAACACGACTGATGCCTGTTTCCGGCTGAACTGGAATATTTATGTTAAATATTTGTTTCTTTTAAAATGAATGTATTGGTTCATCAACGCGGGAATTAAAAGAAAAAAAACATAAATTCCAACCTAGATAACATAATACTGGTACTGCGGGCTGTGAAATCCCAGCTTCTATGCTTTTATTTAAACTTCTAGCTTTTTCAGTAATATAAATATTTGGGATGAAGATAAGTTAGCGCTGTATTGGAAATTACTACGCTATTGAGTTCCTCTGCCCTCTTACTGTGCCATAGTGTGGGTAAGTTTTTTGGAGTCGGAACAAATCTACTGCGTTGCGACGAGGAGAGAGTGTCTCTTCTAGTTAAGATCAGCAAATTGCACGGTTGCAGGATAACGGAAACAAGTGAAACAAACTGTTCTAATATATCTGCCGTGACTGTGAAAAACGAGTGTAACCGAGCAACGCAGCAATGTTTCCGTTATTAAATGCTTTTCTCGGTAGTGTGAGTTCACCCGCTTCAATTTTCTTGGTGAGGGCCGCGGATGTCAAGAGGCTAATGATATAAATTTCTGGATAAATAATCTTGTATTCAAACACAGTAGACTCTGCGACCCCAACAAACGACGCGCACCACGACATAGACAGCATCGGCCGCAGTGATACTATTTTACTGATGAGGGCTAGCGACCTTCACGATACTTTCCGAACAGCCTCCGGCCTCACCTAACGTATATCGGGATTGGGCAGTTCATCGATTAACTTTCAGATTATTCAAGTAATGCTTCAATTGCAATTTTTTTGACGGTTAATTTTAGTCTTGCGCTGGAGAAAGTCAAGAAGAAGTAAAAAAATGCCTGCTTTAATATTCTTGACGTCTCTATTTCTTTTGTGACTGAGGCTTGCACGGTAAACCACTTCAGCGTGCTTGTCATTTCACCGAGGGTGATTATACTGTTTAAATAATAACTTAAAAATACTTCATTTTAAAAGGCTTCCCGTGTTCATATTTATGTAGGACACACAACGTGAAGTTTAGAATGGGAATGCGATATGCCATTTATGACACAATAAAACCAGTAAAAAATGTGTAGTTTTAACGTCTTTCACGAAATGTGACCGGCGAAAAATCAGCATACGAATTTATTGATTGATTAGTTTATTAAAGGGTAGCGATCAGTCGGGTTAATTTTCTAATCGAACCACAGCCCCACTCAACATCCAATGCTTTATGAAAGCCGCGGTTTGTGCGAGATAACAAAAATACGTGGGACCAGCGATTGTATACAAACCAACGCACAAAGATTATGGAAGCTTCCGACTTAATAATAATCGCTTTGCTGAATTTCTACGCATGGGAAACGATACACCACCTTTGGTAAGAAGAAACGGTAACAAAAACATAAAATACTTAATAAGGAATGTCAAGCTCAGCCTGAAACGGGCTTGCCGCGTCGAGATCCATGCTTCTGAGCGACGCACGGCGGTGTCCCCGCTTTCGCGCGTTTCCAATTTCGGCCGCACGGTGGCGACACGGTTCGATCTGGAGGCGAATAATCAATAAATCACTGTCGAAATGGGAGCGAGCACGGTACACAATCTCTTAAACTTCATAAGTAAACCGACCAACTAAATGTTTACGTCGCAAAAAAAAAAAAAAAAAAAAAAGATTGAGAACCTCATACACCCCATAGGTGTGACTACAGTGTTGGTATGACATTATGAACAAACATATCGCCTAGCCTCAGATAAAATATAAGTTAAACGTCAACTCGCCTACGTCACGCCGCGGTGGTGGCGCGTCGAACGCACTTCCGGTCTGGGGCGGTGGGCAGAAGCAACACCACCTAGACTGACTAAGGCCTCTCCGCTTCCCTGATGACGTCACGCCATATGTCCGTTTGCCCCGGACTCTTGCCGTTCGGCAATGGCTGCGGTGGTGACGGCGTCTTGTGCTTCGTCCAATTTGTTTCCGTTTTAGACTGCTTCTGACCGTACCAGGAATGATCCGTGTGTGGTGGTGTGTGCTGTTATGTGTGTGAGAAGCAAGCCTCTGGATATTTGCATTACGAGAAGTTGGTGATCAGGATTCAAGACGAGTTGGAAACTAGCCCATCGTTAGGTCTCATTGCGCTTGGTGTTTTACTGGTTCTAGGTTTGTCATTTGCCTTGCTCATAATTTAATCTGGCGTAATTTTGTGATTCACAACATGCTTACGTGCTGTGAAGAGTCTTTTCGTGCGCAGGTAACCTTTGACGACTTTGGAACGGCTCGATCGGTAGGCCGGAGCCTTGTAAACACTTCGTACTTGAGAGGTTCAAACTTCAAGCTGTCGTTCTGATCGATCGGTTACCTACGGTTTTTCACGTCAATGACTAGCTAAATTTGATTGGAACTTTCGGCATTATCTTGTTGACGCTGATGATTAAGAATAATTGGGGTTGTGTGGATGTTTATACAGCGTGTAGTTGGTCAGCGACGAGTCATTCGCCGTAGAGGAGAAATGTAGCCAGTGCAGTACAACCGTTAGCCTGGGGTCTTTAATGTGCATCGCGCAGTTGTGAGTCTTGTAACACACGACAGGACGCCGGTACGATGCTCATCCAGATCGAAACGAGCAGGGGTGGGGTTTGAACCCAGGGTCCCTGACGCTGATGAATGTTGCAGGTAGGTGTGCAACAGGCGGTTGCCTGCAACATGTAGTTACCTTATTTTAATTGATGTTCATCCAGTTTTCAATCTTATTGCGTTCAAAGGAAGAAAAACAAACTCCAGTCATGCTAAAAAATGTAAGTGTGTTGAATTTATTACCAAAGATAAATAAAGCAAACGTACTGAGCATGTTTTCTTTTTTCAGCAGTCGACTTTCTGCCTTCAATGTTTTTACATTCCTCTGTGTTCTAGATGAAGGCTTACAGTTCATAAGTTGTGCTTGCTGTCCTATTTCTTGGCCAGGGTTTTTGTTTTTCGTGACTTCTGAACTTGCTGCGCCTTCTGCTGAATTCCATCGTTGATCGTACCACAGTAGTTCCTCAACAGCGTATTAGTCGCTGCGCTCACCACATGCTTCATGAGGAGTAAAACGCTGTGGCCCATCGAGCAGGGGCTGATGTCGAGGGCTTCTTTGAGCAGTGATAACGCAATGGACATTATCAAGGACCGCTGCTTTCCGCCTTTCAAGAATGCACCAACATTCTCTGGAGCTGACAGTTTCTCAACCACTAGCTTAGTGACGAGGACCATTGTCACAGTGCATGGCTGCGGAAACTTGAGACCCCCTCTTGTCAAGTGGGAAATCAGGGAAAAGTCCTCCACCTCCAACATTCGTCCATCCATCACAAGCAGTTCAGCACAGGCTTCACAGCGCATGCGCTTGAGTGCAGCATGTGCACTGTAGCCAGCAACATACGTAATGACCGGCATGTCGCACTGCGAACTCTGTAAATCATCTTCGGTGATGATCACATTGAACAGGCTTTGCTCACCCTCAACTGCTTCCTCTTCATCATTGGCTTCTGGAGGTGGCACCAACACCAACATCTTCTGAAGACGTAGCTTTTTTTCACACTCGAACACTTGACGAATAGAAATGTGGTACTGTGCACCAGCTAGCTGCCTGTACTTTCCGAAACGGTCCTCCAGGCAGTCGGTCTGAAACTTCCCCAGGAGAACATACTTGAACTTCAGTTCCTCAAGGCAGTACTGGCTAAGCTTCAAGAGCGAATAACATGTCAGCTCCAGTGCCGCATGAGTTTCCTTTGTGAGGCCGCCTGTGTCGCACTTTAGGCTTTTCCAGGTGTCTAGCCACTGCAGCAGATCCTTCAAAAACTGCATCTTCGTGTCGTCGATGCAAGTTATGGGCTCCTGCAGTTCGTCTCGCAGTCTTGTGCCCTTATGAGGGCTCTTCGCGTTGACAATCTTCCACCATTTTACAACAATGTCAATGAAGTCTGCAGTCGATGCAGAGAGCTCAATCTGGAGGTCGACTCCACGCGTTCGGAGAGCTTCTGAAACAAAGGGACTAAAAACGTTCAACGCAAGCTTCACATTTTGCCGCTCCATTGATGTGGGGTTGAGAGCTTTCACGCTGAGCTTAAATCCAAACTTCAGCAGCTTGTTTTGTTCTTGCATATGAAGGTCCCGAAGAGCTTGAAGCGATGCAGCCTTTACGGTGGAGGTACTGCCTTGGGTTGCAGGCTGAAACTGCGGAAAGTAAAAACACTTGCCCAAGTTCTTCTGATTAAGCCAGTTGTTCTGTATACACTTAAGGAGGTGTACCGGATCGACGACGTAGAATAGTGGCCGACTTTTGTCTGCTGGGTGCGGGTAGACAACCTTTGTCATGGGAGGCACTGACGGCGGTGACTCGAAAAATGACATCATTTTGCGGTTCAAAGCATTGTTATCTGTGATAACAGCAATCACTCGAATTCCCATTGCCTCGAGTCGCATGATCACCTTCAGGACAAATTCGTGGAGTGTCTTTGCGTCCATCTTGGAAACGGGAAGGATGTGAACAACATCTTTTGATGATGATAAGAGACTCTGAGTCATGAAGACGTGTGCTGTGGTTGCTGGTTCGGCTGCGTTGTGGGAAGCACCAGTTACGGTTCCTCCTTTGTAGTCAAAATATGGCTTGATATGTATTTCGTCTATCATTAATGTCACAATCTTCTCCTCTTCCCTCATCGCCTTGACCCTCTCTTTCATGTACCCTAGAAAACAGCTTTGATCCTGTTCCGCTAGGGGGTCCCCGCCATGCCTGGAACAAAGACGTCGAAGGGTTGTAGGGTGCGGTAGTTTGAGGGCCGACGCAGACCTTGCAAAATGGTAGGCGTGAGGCGAGATTGAGTGCAAGACGGTCGCAAACACAAGGAAATCGGAGCTGTAGCGTGGGGATTTTGTTGCAAGCAAACAAATTTGCTCATTGAAAAATGTCAAGGAATCTTTATCGTCCTGGGATAGGTCCGATCCATCTGCAATGATGTCTTGCAGTAGTGAGCTTATAAAGTTGAGAGCTGCTATCTTCGTGGGCAGGCTTTGGTGCTCCGCATGACTTGATACCTGCTCAATCTCGTCTAGCAGGACAAAAAGAGTGCCCAGGTCATTGAGCGCTTCTGGCACGGCATTACCCGAGGGTAGTGTTCTTATTGCAACTGCCCCAAAGCACACAGTTACAGACAAGTTTGAGTCGATTGTGACCGAATGCTTGACATACGGGGACTCCTTCGTCTCGATGCGGAGGAACATGACACACTGGCTGTTCACCGTTTTAATCCAAAAGCTTGAAACTGGTGCGGTGAGGAGTTTGGCTGTGAGATCATTAAAAGACTGAACAAAGTTCTTCTGTATTTGTTCCTCGTGCGCCATCTGAGACTGCTCGATGGCCTCCTGAAGAGCTGCGGCGTCTGCTCTTGCCCGTTTCGCGTCAGGAGCCTCACGGCTGGCCGTGCTCGTTGTGGATAGATAACTCGGGCAATTCGGAAATCTGGTTGGGACCGCGTCTTCCGTCAGCTTGGTCCTTTCACGTGTTACTTCCAACGTTCTCCCTGTGGCTTCATCGTGGTGTGTCAGAGTTGTGATGTAGCAGTTGCTTGCGAAGTGCTCTTCACATACCTGCAGAATAAATATATAACACATATTACAGATGCTGTGCACCTTGTAAGAGGCAAGGCTTTTGGAATACATGGTACAAGTCTCTTATAAACTGCGCATTGAACTTTATTATCTTGAAGTTATATCAAACTTTCATTAAATTATTATGACTAGACTGCTTGAAATCGATCCACTAAAACTCCTGTCACACGAGCATTCGAAATGGCGCAGAGAAACGATCAGGGATGAAGAGTGTGCATTATAAAGCTTTGATATGCACTTCAGATGCGCTCGTGCATCTGAAGCGCCGGTTTGGCTGCATAGCCCCAGAAAGTAGGAATCAATAAGCTAGCTCGCGCTCGTTCCACACAGCATGCGCTAATTCGCTGATTCGCATTTTTAAATTTTCCTGTGGTACGAGTATAAACTTGATTGCTGTTTTCCCCCAAAATAATCGAAACTTAGAGGGGCGGAGAAGCTACTTCGCTGGAAGGGCGAACATGTACAACGTGTACAGGCTGCAACAGACAAGCACTACCGCTCGCGTGTGTCATTCGCCCAAACCATACATGTTTAGGGGAATGATTTGGTGCTTACTAAAAAATAAATCAAAGTCTTAAACTTACCCTAGAGTGCTTGGTTGGCACGAAATCTTTGCGAGGAATCGCTCTCAGCCACTTCGCCTTGCGCGCTTCATCGGACGGAAAGGAGAACACTCGTACTTTCGGCCCGTTATCGTAGTTACCACGACATCCCGGCACACAGCACCGACCCATTGCTGGTGATGTATACGATCTCAATCGAACGCCAGCCGCTAGCGCACGAGCGACGCCATCGTAGGCATAGCGAGCGTTCAACGATCCGCGCGGTTCGGCCCCTCGGCTCGGCCACCTTCCGCACGGAGTGCGAAGTCGGCCGTCGAGTCGCCAGTCAAGACGGTCGGACACAGCGCCTGACGTCACGCGATGGGGAGAGGAGCACACGGAGGGGCCTTAGTCAGTCTAGGTGGTGTTGGCAGAAGTCGCCGTGCGAGACATGCATTCATGTGTTCTTTTCGGAGAAACCAGACAAAAAACCTGCGTTCTCGTCAAAATGCTGCGACGGGGGCTGTGCCAAAAGAGTTTGGAAAGGTTTGAGATCAGTTTTCATGTGTTTCTGCCCGCTCCGTTCGTCCGAGTAGGTGGATAGTAGCCGTGAAAAGGGTAAACCAGACGCTGTCGAACTGCGATTGCTTGTGCGGGCAACACTTTGTGGTCGCCAGATATATTTGTTTTGTTCCAACATAAACGAGAGGAAACCGCCAAGTTGTCCGGGCCCCCCGCGGGTTCAGTGCGTCTTCAAATTCACACGGCCGCCTGATCGTTCGAACTTTCTTCTGCTCTTTTGAACTTGTCTGCTTTTTGTCGTCTGCTCGTTCAAACAAAAGCGGCCCGTAGACCAAACTTTGACCCGGTGATTGCAATAAGAAAAAATTGCAGGCCTCAAACGACTTAAGTATGCTCGGTGTAAACAGTACATACAAGATGTTGATCATTTGTACCAGTGGCCATCACCGACTTGTTACGCTTGGTCTGTTTCCGCTTCCGAATTTCAGTATCGACGTCGATCATCGCCGCTACCTTCTACACTTTTGCAGCACGAGCGACGTCGCGACCGAAAATATCTAGAAGATTCTCATCGTGGTTTTGGCGTCCATTCTGTGGCGTTCACGCGAATGAATCGCCGCGAGTCAAATTATTTACGCAAAGTTTAGCGGTGTAACGAGCCTTGATAGTTTCGCTCAGGCGATTAAAGTGGTAAGACATTGCTATGGGGACATAGATTAGACAATTCCGGCGCGAAAAAGAGTACGCAGACTCACACAGACGCCGACAACGTAACATTCCAAAGGTTTGTGGACGCGGGACGCGGTGCTTCTTGCCCTCAATCCATTTCGCATGCGTTCGAACTGTCGTCTGCCCTTTCAAACTTGTCTGCTTTTTGTCGTCAGCGCGTTCAAACAACAGCGGCCCGTAAACCAAACGTTGACCCGGTAATTGCGATAAGAACTAAGTGAAGGCCTCAAAACACTTTTGAAGGTTGGTTGGGGTAAGTAGGCAAGTGTAAACAGTAGATACAAGATGTTGATCATTGTTACCAGTGGCCATCACCGATTTGTAATGCCCGATTCTACTTGCGGTTTTCAGTATCGACGTCCACCATCTCAGCTAGGGATGGTGGCTTTTGCAGCCTGAGCGACGTCGCGACTGAAAATAGCGAGCAGAATCTTATCGTGGGAGTCAGGCTTTAGCGCCCGTTCTGCAGCGTCCGCGTGAAATGAATCGCCGCAAGTCACATTATTCACGCAAAGTTTTGCATCGTTAATTTTGCTGAAGCCGCTCAAGTAGTCAGACATTGTTAGGAGGACGTAAAATCAACAATTCTAACGCGTAAAAGAGCACGGGGACTCCCACCGACGCCGAAAACAACGCAATGCAATGGTTTGTTTATGGGCGACGGCGGGCTTCTTGCCCACCGTCCACCGCGCATGCGCGGCGCCGGTGGCATCCGCTAGGGGCGCTCCGGTTTGTTTGTAAACAGAGCCGTGTATTGGGAGAGTTTGGCCAACAGGCGGAGCAAAGGCCGCCGCCAGAGCCGAATATTCCCCCCGCGCTTAGAGCGTAAACTAAATTTGTGACACAGCGTCGACAAATCAGGAGACCGCGACGTCAGAATATTGCAAACGACATTCAAAGCGTGAAATAGAGGCGTTCAATCTCGGTCTCTCTGCTCCATCTCACAAATGTCGGCAGTGAAGACAAAGGTACAGGCGCGTGAACCTAGCTCAGCAAAACGCTTTTGTTTGTACGTGAACTCGTGCGTAGGAGCCACTTTCCAAAGCCACGCGCTCGTGCCCATGCCTTTCTCTGCACTGCTGATGTTGGCTTGTTAGAACAGCGTCCTGTGACTGGCAGAAAGAAAACAGTGCAAAGGGTGGGGCGCGCGAGCGTCTGGAGACGCGGTGTCCCGCTCGGCTCGTGCGCTGGCTTTGGCAGTGCTTTCTTTCACCGTCTCAGCTGACACGCTGTTTCTAGCAAGTTGGCCCTGGTTTGGAGCGCACGTTCGTTTATTCTACACTTGAATATTGGCGTGACGAACACCTCGCACGCACAAAGTTTTCAGTCACTGAGAGTTACACCTTTTAACTCTAGCGACGCTAAAACGGCTTGAATTAGTCGTGTCACAAATTTAGAGCTCACGACCGCCGCTAGGGGCTGTTTCGCGGCCTGTGGTTGGCCCCGAGATGCTCGCCTATTCAAACCAATGTATGGCCAAACTCTCTCGATAAACGGCTCTGTTTGTAAACATGAGTTGGTGTATATTCTCCGCGAGTTTCCTCACATAATCAAAAGAAGCTATTTTCGATATATTATGAATACAAAGAACGATACTTCTTGCGCTCCTTCCTATCAAAATGCGTGATATAAATCTACGCGCTTGTTACTGAGAATGCTCCGCTACTATTAGTAAACAAACCTCAGTTGTCACAAGGACCTTTGAACAATCGTGATGTCTTAGTCGTCGAGTAGGCGTATTGGGCTAAAATTTCCGAAGGCAAAAAAGCGCGGTGAAACGCGACGAAAAACAGGAATACAACGCATTCGCTAGGGCGCGGAAGGTAGAGCGGAACAGCAAGTTGAAGCAACCTAATGGCTGCCGCGTCACGTGATTCCAAAATGGCAGCGTCCATGCGAAGGAGGATGAAAACGACTTGGCAGAGTGTTGTATTTAAGTTTCTGCAGCAGAAGTTGGAACTGCCTCTATGAAATTCTCTTTCCTCGACAAATTCGAAAAAAAAAAAAAACTGATTGGGATCTTCAGTTATAATCATGAAAGGTAGTGTTAGGTGATGTCCCTGGACATCAAAGATCTGTACTATTTTCTGGAGAAGAAAAGGCTTATGAACGCGGTAAGGAAGGTTCTGAAGTTCAAGAGGCAGTTCAACAATCCTTGTATTTTGCCCGAATACCGCTTAGAATGAATCCCTGACGTTTATGACCAATAAAACCCACATTCGTTTTTCTCCCCACGCTATAAACGTCGCAGACAAAAATAGAGAAAAACGAGCAGGGTTCATCCCCTCAACTCGCAGCCGGAACAATCGGCCACGTGAACTGGAGCCAATTATATGCCGCCAATGTTGATCACATATTCACGCGCTGAGGCTGGCAAAGCACAGGACACGTGCTGAGTTCTATACCATAGCCGCTAGTGGACACGGGCCACCACCCCAATGCCTGTCGAGCCATTGATTATCACGAGCCCAAATCGAGTGCTCACAAAATGCTCGGATCCAATCTATGAGTCGCATTCAGATGCCGTCACTGGGGGATAGTGGGACCCCCACTCTATGTCATCAGCTTTTGCGAAGAAGAGATTAAAAGAAAACGCTCGCTTTTGTCCTTGATATGAATCATATCAAGTTGCGTTGCGTGAATCAAACTGTCTATAGGTGGCGCCACTCGTTTTCCAAGATGGTGGTTATAGTGAGAGTCGGAGATGCGTGCTCGTAGACCATTTGCTGAGCCCTGTCTAGTCTACTGGCTTCACTGAGCGACATAAATTATTCCCGCTTACACGAGGAAGCTAGGGTGTTATGCGCGTACGTCACCTCTTTATTCTGAAAACAAAAACGGTGTTTAGCATAATATTTAAGACGGGAGGCACGTTTTAATTTAGGAAGGAAAAAGAAAATAACTACTATTTTAGATTTCATTTCTCCATAAAGGTGTTCATTTCGGTTTCTCTCCTACCTCAAGATGTGCCTCCCGCTTAAGTATTATGCTGAAGAAATTGTTCACGGAAACTTTATGTTCTGACGTATATGCCTGTCCGATCCAGGAACTTAAAAATATTTTGGAGTTCAGTGTCCCTTTAATTACAGGGTCTTCCTTAGACCTTAGAGGTAACAGAATATTGTATTTGTTGAACAATTCAGCGCTGTTATTTGTGTTTTCTTGGAGACGTTTTGTATTCGAATAAAGGTCATGCAATATAATAACCTGCGGGCCATTTAATGGGTTTTTGGGCATTTAGATGATTGATTGCTTTAGCATTATTCCCATTGCAAGAATAATAATATCAATCAAAATTTTTACAGATATCGCTACTGGTGATTAGTTTAGAATTATTCACAAAACATATTAAATTAAGAAACGCTGTTCTCACTACAAAAACCACAAAACAAAATTCTAGTCAGAGAACAGAGTGTGTTTCTTTTAAGGCAACGCGTGACGTAAAGGACTTTATGTCATATCAAGCATATATGTCTATCTCGATAACGATGTCAGAGTTTTTCATGTGCTAAAAAGAAATCAAAATGAGACATTTCTGTAAAGGGTATTATGGTTAAATGGCGAGTTTTTTGTGATTGTGGCGTTTTTAGGCCTACATTACGGCCATTTCTATTAATAATACGGCCATTTCTATTAATAATACGGCCATTTCTATTAATAATAATGCAATTAAGATATTTTATCACATAGTCTTCAAAGTCTAATACAATGTGTTGTTTATGATCTAATTTCAAACGCGCAAATAACTATGGCACTCCAAAGTTGGCAAATTATCATCACTGGTGCCCATCGCAGCATTATTGATTAACAAGTTATAAAATAAAAATAGTCTAGACATTCTAGCTGGTCTGAGAAATTCACGTAAAATGACATTAATCGTAGGTAAAGCATATGGTAATGTCAAAGTCGCGACTTTTGGCTATCAGGAAATCTTCCAAACTCGCCGCCAATCCTTCCAAAACAAATGCCCCGATATAAAAAAAAAAAAAAAAGACGGAGACCGTTGTTGTTCGTTTAATGAGAAAACAGCCCAGAATTTTCATTTTCTTAAATTTTTTTACGCGCCGCCGTTTTGCCAATCTTAGAGTTTCCCA